TAAACAGCTGAGCCACCAGGGCTGTCCCCCTGGGGATCTTTAAAAACAAACACTGATCCCTAGCTCTTGGGCCCACACATTCTGATTTAAGTGGTATAGGTGCAATCTGGGCATCATTATTTGTAAAAACTCTCCAGGCAACCCTAACATGCAGCAAAGTATGGCAACCATTGACCTAGCCTCTTTGCCTTGATGCTAATGTTCATTGCCACCCTCTTCTTCAGCTGCCTAGCACTGAGGCCACAGTAGGAACCTGGTATGTACTAGCACTGCTCACAGCACCTCTTTCTAACTCTCCTTCTCCCACCTTCTCCTAGAACTCATAACACCTCTCACTGCCTTCTCCCCTTCCTCCAGTCCTTCATCTCCCTGCCTGTTCAAAGTAGATCCTCTGCTATAGTATTACAACCGTCTCTTGCCCACTGCCAGCACATCAACCCGTTGTTCTGTCTTTGACCACACCTACCTGGAAAAGTTTGAGGAGGAGGATCTAAACCAGACTGCAGGCATGTGAATGCAGGGAGGCTTCTTGAAGTTGATAGTACTTGAGTAAAGTTTTGATGAAGAAGTAAAAATAGAAATGGACGTTTCAAGCAAGGGTACAGCATACAAAGAGGCACAAAGGAGGAAAACCAGAGAGTTTACCTAGAAAACTACACGGTGTTGTGTACGTCTAGAGCAGGTACCTAGCCCTACAGGTGTCAAGGAACAAAACTGCAGAGGCAGCCTCTTGCCAGATGGGGACAGGCCTTGGGCATCAAGCCAGGAAGTTCACATCATGCTTACAAGTATGAAAAGCAGTCAGTTGATAGCTTTCTCTAAATGGCTTTTAAATTATAACATTAATACATACTTAGAGAAAAATAGAAAAATGTAGAAAAGAACAATGTTCTTTAATCTAATTATCCAGAACTCCCCACTGTTAAGATTTGAAGGGAATTTGTCCTTTTCTCCTATGCATATTCTGATGGAGCTGAGAGCATGCTGTGTATAAATAAGTGCATATCTCACCTTCACACTTAACATGATATACATATTTAATGTTTCTGAAATTTTGTAAATATCTTAATGGCAGCACAAAAGTCTATCATCGTAGATACCATATACTTTATCTAACTCTTCTCGCACAGACGGAAATTGGGGAAGGAGCGGGGGATGTCACCATTATAAATGATACAACAGTGTTCATGTTTGTGTGAACTTAGATCCTGTCAATGAGTTCTTGTGATTGGTACCAAAAAAAGAATTAATGAATCAACAGTATGAAAATTGTAGACTCCCATTGTCAAATTTCTTTCTGAAAAGTTTTTCCCAATTTACACTTTCATCATAGGTGTGAAAGAATGCACATTTCGTCTCTTCTTGCCAGCACTTGGTGTTGTGATTGGTGCCACTGAAGGATTTTTGGTATGAGGATGACATGAGCAGATTTGCATTTATAAAATCACATGCTGGAGGCTGAGTCAAGAGGGCCAGATTGGAGCTGCTGCTATTGACGTCCTTGCTGTTCTTGCTTTGCTTTCACATTCTCCTTTTTCCATTTCCCCATTCTTCATCTTTTTTTCCTGCTCAGAGAGCATATATTGTTCCCTGCACACAAGCACAAGGCTTTGTTACCAAAAGCAGAGCTGAAGGGCCTCATGCTGTGGTTGCAACAAACTTGTGCCTAGTTCAGTGACCTTCTTCTTATAGTTCTGTCAAATGAATAAATAAATAAATAAATCTATTTCTAGGCAGTAATTCTCTTTAGGTAGAAATTTTTTTTATATTTTTCGAAGAAATTGCCAAGTGAATTTATTACTAAATTAATTTCTTTCGGCATCCTGTGACCATCCAACCCTACATATGATCATCTCTGTCCCTGGAACATCTTTGCTCTTCTTCCTTCTTAACCCAGCAAATTACCTGTCATTCATGAGTCAAGACCTTCTTAAAAAAAAAAAAAAAAAGACCTTCTTAAACATCTGTGACACCTCCTTCCCATACTTAGTCCAGTAGGAATCAGTTACTCAGGCCTCCTGGTCCCTATGGTTCAATTATAGCATTTTTTACACCCAATACATTTTCTCCCACTTGGCCAAGAGCCCTTCAAGAGTAGAACATTTTGTATTCCCAATTCTTGTCTGGCATTCAGTTGCTACTCAGTAACTTATGAATGAATGAATGAATGAATGAATGAATGAATTCCTGTTTTAGTAAGGTGCATGGACATTCCAGCTTAAACACTAATGAGTTGAAAAGTGTAAAGACAATATGGAGGTGATGTAAATTGCCAAAGCCACACTCTGAATCATTGGTACCAGGTAAAACAGACACCTGGTATACCAGATGTCTTGATCCTGGATTCTGAGTTCCCAACACTAATTGTTCTGAGTGCTTGGATATTGAGTTGCATTCTATTCTGTTTCATTTTAACTCTAAATTTAATTTGTGCATATGTATCTCTGTGTTAAAGAAAGTAAAGGGAATTAAGTGATGCCAGATGATCCCAAAGTATGTATCAAAGAAAACTACCATGGACTGTTTATAGATATCACACAAAAGAAGAACCCTGTGGTCCCCATAGGTTTAGAGAACAACATTAAATAGATTTCTTTGTCTCAGAACTTCCTGGTAGGCATTGTAGGAAACTGAAAGAAAGATCACCTAGGCAATGGTGGAGAAATAGAAGAGCAGTCAAGTCTCCCTTCAGTGGTAGACAGGAGTCATCCTAGCCTCTTTACGCCAGAAAAGATTTATTAGAGTACAAATTCAAAAGCAGAATGGTGAAAAGTATACCAAGATCCTAGCCCCTTACCCTGCATTTATCTCCTCAGTCCCACATGTGTGTAAGCCTCTGCCCCCCACCCACCCACCATGTGGATGAGATCAGCCTTCATTACTTCTCTTCTAGAGCCAGGAAGCAAGGTAATGTGTGGGAAGTGATAGCTGCAAGGTAATGTGTGGGAAGTGATAACAACTTAAAGCCATTCAACAGGAAAATTTGTTAAAAGACCAAGACATTGTAAAAGCTGAAACACTTGAGTCTATTAAGTCCCCTGCTTCTTAGAACATTTTGTTACCAGAGAATGTTTCAAGGAGGGAAAACACTGAACTATCACAGCACTGTCAGATCCTGAAGCCTGCTACAAAGAGCAACATTTTACAAGACATCTGTCTTTCTGCCATTAGAGGAACCTCTGAAAAGTTCTACTGCTTTTTTTCTCCTACCCCAGTATAACTCCCCCACCCTCCTCACCCTTAGACACACTCCTCTATTTCTCCTCCTGCCTCCTCGTTCCTCCCTTCCTTTCCCCCTCTCTCATTCATAACCCATGCTGATTTCGCAGACACTGTTAAAATGACACAGTAAGCTAAGACTATCCAGTGGTTATTTAATGCTCTTTGGTAAGAAGGGCGCTAATTAAATGACTAGAGGCTTAGACATTTGTTGTTTATTGGATCCAAACTCCTTAAGAGAGCCTGGAGCATTCTCCTAAACAAACATTGCTCTTTCATGGCTTCTTGTTCCAAGCCCAAATGAGATGGAGAGTTTAAGGAGACAGCATCTCTTCACAGATATGGGGGTAGGGGAGGGCAAGAGCCAGAGAAGAAGAATGGGAGTGTGGATTGAAATAGAGGGGAAGGCTTATGGGCCTATCATAGAAAGATGAACAAACACAGTTTGTGTATCTGTTGGCCCCTCGGTGAGCATCAGTAGGTTGGACTGGAGCAATACTGACACATTTGTGGTCAGCTCAGTGGTTTGCTTAACTCTTCATTAGAAATATATCCATCAAGAGAGTGTTTTAAGACAATAGTCTCCCAAACAAAAAAGTAAAGACAAACCCAAATATCTCCTTGGCAATCTTTTTTTTTTTTTTTTATTCTCCTTGGCAATCTTAACACTGTTACACTATACCAGGAGGCACCTTAGACAAAAGCCATCCATTAAGTAAATAAAAGCATTCACTTTCTAGTTTGGGGGTAATAATAGGATGTTAGTGACTAGATGCAATCTGTGAGAAAAGTACCTTTGCCTTCATAGGCAAAAAAAAGAAAGAAAGAAAGAAAGAAAGAAAGAAAGAAAGAAAGAAAGAAAGAAAGAAAGAAAGAAAGAAAGAAAGAAATATTTTAAAGAATCTGCCTTTTGTTTTGCTTCTGTTTTAAGTACGAAAGTTGTGTTGTAAAAGTGAGTCTCATTCCCAACATCAATCCTTGATCCTGCCATTGCTTTTCTAAGAAATTGGGCAGGCACAGATCAGGCCTCAGGAACTCTGTAAAAAAAAAAAAAATGTCTTCCAGGTGCCAAATCAGAAGTAACTGTCATTGTGAGAGGCCATTGATCCAGTGCCTGAGACTCATATTTTCTGTCTTGCTTTTTTCTACGTGGACTCAAAATAATGTGGTATGGGTGAAATACTCTTTTCCTTGGCACAGATGAGGTACCTGGTGTCCTGAAAGAGGTCATTGATTTCCCCAAGGATGTCCAAGGAGGCTGGCTCACCACTGGCTTACCACAGGCCAAATTTGAGGTTAATTAACCATCAGTCATCATCATAGGGCCGTGATGTTATTCGAACATTCAGAGAAAAGAAACTTGAACCAGCTATGGATAAGGACTTTCATCATCATTCCTTTCCTATCCTGATCCCAAACCAATGTGTCTTTAGCTGCACTGAGGGTGAGTGTGTGTTGAGGGGGAGGAAGATTGAAAATCAGTTTGGAAATAGCTGGTTCATCATTTGTTACTCTCCATTTGAAGAGGCTTCCTGAAATGTCAGCCTGTTCATTGGATGCATTTAATGTTCTGAATCAAAACCTTTTTTCACTGGAATTGGGTTTCTGTTCATGAAAAGGTATATTTATTGACCTTTGGGGAAATCCTCTATTCAGAATGAGTATGAAAATGCTGTTTGGTGGGAGATCAAAGGATATGGACAGATCTGGGTTTCTGACCAAAACTGGCCTGAGGAACAGAGAGATGTGTATGCACTGCTTCTGCTTGTCTTACTCTGCAGACCTCAGTGACCAGCTCCTTGAAGTGGTGGGGCTGGAGGGAGCCATGGAGATGGGGCAGATCTACACCGGCCTGAAGAGTGCGGGCAGGAGGCTGGCCCAGTGCTCCTCTGTCATCATCAGGTATGCTTCCTCTTACCCAGTGGCCTCTGAGTCTTTCACCCCCTCAGTATTCATACACACAAGGACTAGGAAGCCATCTTTGGATTTCAGTGCAGGGAGAGTGAGGTACAGAAGATAACATTTATACAGGATTTCTTTAGGGGCACCTGGGTGGCTCAGTAGTTGAGCATCTGCCTTTGGCTCAGGGTGTGATCCCAGGGTCCTGGGATCAAGTCCCACCTTGGGCTCCCCACAGGAGCCTGCTTCTCCATAGGCAGAGGGACCTGCCTATGTCTCTACTTCTTTCTCTGTGTCTCTCATGAGTGAATAAATAAAATCTTAAAAAAAAAAATAATGTCTTTAGAGACCATTTCCCAAACGAGGTATAATGCAACCATCCAGGACATCAACTGAAGGGTCACCCATGACCTGTTGGCTATTATTTTTACAGTGAATTAGTGAAATTCTCTAGCCACATAAGATTATGAGGTCAGAGGACCAGAGGTCCAACTCCTTGCCTTTTTTTTTATGATTTGGCCAACATATAGTACATCACAGTTTCAGAAGTAGAGTTCAGTGATTCATCAGTTGCATATAACACCCAGTGCTCATTACATCACATGCCCTCCTTGATGCCCATCCCCCAGTTTCCCCATCCCCCCACCCTCCTCCCCTCTAGCCACCCTCAGTTTGTTTCCTATGGTTAATAGTCTCTCATGGTTTGTCTCCCTCTTTGATTTCTTCCTTTTCAGTTTTCCTTCCAGTCCCCTATGATCCTCTGCTCAGTGCTGCCTTTTCTTATCTTTACAAATTAAGATGCCAGATGCATGCTAGAGGGCACACTGTGACAAAAACCAGGTTCAGGTTCTCTGCTTGCTCTTTCTTTGATAGTGGCCTTCGAAATACTGTTTCCTCTCTGCCTTTGTAAAGCCAAACCATCAACATGAGCAAATCGGTCCCAATTGCCTAAGAGGGTGATGCTTCAGGAGGATGTGGACCCCACAGGTCAGTCACTGCAGGCTGCTGGAGGAAATCAAGTCTAATAGAGGGGATCCTCTGATTTCAGTTGCTTCTGTTGAGTCAGTAAAACTCATCAGATTCTTCTCCACCTGATTATTTGAGAAGTCTTTATTCCCTTCCTTTTCCCATCTAATTTTTTCAGCTCAAATCTTTTAGCGTGCCTTAAGGATCTCCTGGAGGAGCCACAGTATGTGGGTTTCCCAGAGATATTTGACCAGAACCCTTTTGTCCCAAAACCTCTTGGGTGAGTGTCCTCAGCACACTTTTGGGGAAATGCTACTCTTGGCACTACCTTGCCTCCCTCAGAAAGAACCCCAAAGCTGGTTCCCTGACATCTCTTAGCTGAAGGTCTATCCTACTAAACCCTGTTCTTCAGTGCTTCCCTGGATCTTCTTTTTCTTTTCTGTTATTATCCAAAGCTTTGCTTGCATTCTTTCTGGGCTCTTGTCATGCTGGGGCCCCTAATTTCCACATTAATCTCCGTACTTCTTTCCTTGTCCATCCTCCATGACTCTAGCACTGAGTAGGTCCAGGGCTGATACAGACCGCAGAGAGTGTAACATCTCAGTCCCAGGGGAATAAAAAAAAAAAAGCCACATGTAAGAGGAAGGACTTTTTCTTCATATTCAGTAGACCTATTTTAAGGTAGAACAGAGATGGTGAGCCAGGATCCCCATCCTCCTGGGCATTTCCCAGACACGCTTCTCAGCCCCAAGAACCAAAATGCCACTCTCTCCTTTCCTGATTCATTTTATTATATTTTACTATTAAATATTCTCAGGATCAGTCAGACAATCATCTACATCAACACATAGCCTGTGTCCCTCATTTTTTTTTATTTCAAAAGTAGGGCAGATGCCAAACCCAGGTGAGAGCTTCCCAGCCAGTGGGTGGCTACTGTTCCCTGCTCACCCGACCAGAGACTTCCAAAAGGGCTTCCCTTTTTCTCCTGAAGGCAATCCAGTAAGAGTGCATATCTCTTCCACAGAAAGAAGTCAAAAGACCTCCTCTCTCTCCTTTTCAGAATCCATATGCCAAAGAAGCCTTGTCCCAAAAAAGAAAGCAACACTGTCTTCTCTCCAACTACCCATAGGGACAGTATTCAAAATGACCCCACTTGCCAGCTAGGCCAGGTTCTCAATCCATGGAACTACAAAATGCCCTGGTGTTTGAGACATAAAAGAGAGGATAGTTAGGAGCAGGGGCAAGGCAAGACACAGTCAGACCTGAGCTGTACCTTGTATACGTTGAAGACGTTACCTCATTGACATGATGCAACCTCTCACTCAACATAGAAACCAGGCCTTTTCCCATTTCATAACCTTTCCCATTTCACTGTGGAGTTTCTGGCACAGTCCATAGGCCCTCCGGCTGGTTGTTGACTGAGGGTCTGCTCAGCAGCGGTGCTGCCATACTTGTTGGCCACTGTTTCCCAGACTTCCGTGGACTTCACTGCTCACTCAAATCTTTTAGCATGCCTGAAGGATCTCCTGGAGGAGCCACAGTATGCAGGTTTCTCAGACTAGAGTCTGAGCACCAAAGCAACAGAATCACCCATAGCCTTGAGTCAGAATTCCTGAGGTGGGCTCAGAAACCTATTTTTAATAAGCCCTCCAGGAGAGTCTTTGGGAACCACTCCTAGGTAGGCAGATAAGGTCTTCCCACTCCTGTTTCCTTTGGGGGGACCACCCTCATTCTTTGACTCCAGAAGAGTCAAAGCTCACTGTGTTTTCTTGGAATTCCAGGACAAACAAGCTGCTGCCCATGCAAGTGGATGGAGAGCCCTGGATGCAGCCACCTTGCACGGTGAGTTTTGCCAATCTTGGAGCTGAGGGTGAGAAGCTTTATCCTGGGCCCCTTTTAGGCACTGACAATATGAAATCCTTGACTCTCAGAGTTGCAGGGGCTTGGGGAAATCACCTACTGCAGCCTGTCTTCCACTTTATTCATCCACCCTTTCACGTACCTGCTAAGCCTTTATCGAACGTCCACCCTGGGCCAGGCACTGTGAGGTACCAGTTCCAAAACTGAATGAGACAAAGACCTGTCTCCAAAGCACTCACACTTATAGTTGGTGAATTCTAAGTCTTCATCAGCAGTGTCCTTGAGCATCTCCTCTTGAGTCGTTGCAATGGCCAAGAACTTGCCACCCCAAAAGGAAAGCTTGTACTGTTGATAAATAAGTATAATTGTGAGAAAGCATCTCCTTGTGTAGAAGCCAAATATGTACCCTTGCCCTGGAACTTCTGCCCAGTGGCTATGACCACTGGGGCCTCTGGAGGAGAATCCCCATGGCCCACACACTTTGCCATAGGTGCACCTGCCTGAAATCCCCACTGCAAGGGAAACACCAAGTTCTCACTCAGCACCCAGCACTGTGCCTGGTTTGTAACAGTTGCACAATGATATTCGTTGAACGATGAGTAAAGTGTTAAACAAATGAGCAAACAAAATAAAGGGAGCATCCTCATTCCCTGACTTAACCATGCCTATGTTTGCCCTCCATTGAGCTCTACTACAGGGGCCATGCATCCTTCAATCTCAAGAACCTGCTATTTTGAGCCCTCAAACATCAAATTTTCTTCTACTAGGGAAAGGGTTTGCATGAGATTTCTACCAGGCCTGAGTTGTAGATGTGTTTCCATCACTCTTTGTTCCGTGTGACTTCTACAGATTATAAAACTGGCCCCTGGAGATAGACTCTAGGGATGGCAACTTCTATAAAGGGTATCAGAAGCAGAAATTTTTCTGCAAAACCTTACCTCAGTCTTCTGGCTTCTATGAAGACTAAGAAAAAAAAATGAAAACACACTACAGCAAAAACTAATAATAGCTTACCACTTTGTTAGAATTAGAAAGGATGGAGGAAATTTCTACTACTTATAATTTTGATGGAGCTAAATTGAGAAAAATCTATCCAAACTCCTCTTGTCTTCTAAAAAAAGGCTGAAGAAATCAAATCCTCTCCCACCTGGCTCAGCGAAATCTGAACACTGGATTGCCATTTCTTTTACTGCAGGGACTTAGTTTTGGAAAGAGCCAAATCTTTCCAAAGATCTTCTCCTGTCCCACTCTGACCCTCTCTCCATGCCACCCTTCGGAGATTTCAACTCACTGTGAAAACACTCATGATCCAATGATCTTAAGATGTACAGTCTATGGATAGCCATGTGTAAAGATGTACGAGTCTGCTCGGGCTGCCATCACAAAATACCACAGACAGGGCAGCTTAAACGACAGAAATTTATTGTCTCATGGTTCTGGAGGCTGGAAGTTTAAGACCAGGAGCTGGCAGGGTTGTTCTCGTGGCTTCTCTTCTTGACTTGCAAACAACCGCCTTCTCACTGTGTCCTCACGTGGCTTTTTCTCTGTGTGTGCACAGTCCTGCTGTCTTTTCTTCTTATTTTAAGGATGCCAGCCCTTGTGAATGAAGGCCTCACCCTTCTGACTTTGTCAAAACTTAATTACCCCCTTAAAGGTCCTCTGTCCAAATATAGTCACAATGGGGGTTAAGGCTTCAACATATGAATTTGGGGGAGACATAATTCAGTTCATTTGAGAAAGTCATCTTAAGCTTGCAAGAGTGAAAACAGAAGTACCATTGTTGAAACGTTTTCCTGAAGGCACACACCGATTAGGAGGTAGTGCCCAAAGGTTATATTAACCAAGGCTGAAAGCGCATTTCAGGGAGGCCTGAAAGGAGGGAGGCCTCATTAAAGGCAATAGTAAAACTATGCCCAATTTTTTTCATTGCCTCTTTTCACTTTGATAATGAAAAAGTATAAATCAGAAGAAAATTTGAATAATTAGATAATCACGAGTGAAATCAAAAACAGGGTGCACACCTTTCAAATCTGGGAAGGTTTAAATTTCATGAACCCAATCAATGTTGAACTCTGACAGAAAGCAAATAATAAGCAAACATTTAAGTTTTCATTTTAATTCCAGTTAGTTAATATGCAGTGTTATATGAGTCTCATCTATACACTATAGTGATTCAACAACTCCATACATCAACCTAACAATAACAAGCAAACATTTAAAAACTTTTCAAGGCAAAATGAAAGAAGTTAAGGCTAAATATATCAATAATGACCTTAAAAATGTGCTAAAGTCTCCTATTAAAAGAACAGTACTCTCATATTTGGTTAAAAAATAAAATCCAATGATGTGCTTCTTGGAAGAGATATGCCTAAAACAAAAGGACAGATATCTTTTATTTTATCCTTTATCAGACATAGAGAAATTAAAAGTAAAAAATTATATTACTAATTATATTAATTTTAAGCAAACTAACCTTCCAACATGCCAAAAGCACAAAGTGGAATAAAGAAGGTCACTTTTTATTTGATAAAAGGCACATTCATTTCTGAGATGTAATTATGACTGAATTGTAGGTGTGCAATAACAGAATCAAAATACATACTGTAAAAAACAGGATGAATATATGTTCTGAGAAGAAAATTGATATAAAAGAAGAAGCCGACAGAGATACAAGTATTGAGAGACTTTAAAATATTTGTTTCTGCCTTTGAGGTCAAGCAGCAAAAATAAATATCACAATCCTCAGATGAAATAACTATAACCTATAAACAAATTAAATATCTCATTTCTTTCAAGGATCCAGAGAGTATTTACTAAAATAGATCTTAAACTAGTTCACAAAGAAAAAAAACTATATAAAACCAGGCGGAAAAATCATAAAGGTTATTTTATTTTACCGTAAGGCAACGAACTCAGGAATTTTTTTTTTGAACTCAGGAATTAATAAGAGAAGGTTAAATGAATAAACAAGCAAAATCCAATCACTTGGAGATTTTTAAATTATCCTAAAGAACAGTAGACTCAAAAGGAGATCAAAACCACCACCATAGATTTCCAAAATTATATTATTTCCAAAAATAATAAAAATCAGAAGGTTCTCATGCAAAAACTGTAGAATGTAGCCTGAACTATATTTGGAAGTAAATTCAAAGTGACATATACTTCTATCATTTAAAAAGAAAAAACATATAATGAATAATTGCAAAATTAGAAGAACAACAGTAAAACAAACTGAAGAGAAGCAGAAGGAAGAAAATAATAAGGATAAAAGTAGAAATTACATAATTAGAAAGCAGGAAAATTGACAACTACTTCTTTAAACATGTGAAATATTTGAAAGTCTAATTTTAAAAAGAGAAAAATAGATCAGAGATATTAACATATAAAATAATAAAATATAAATGTAATGGCTTCATTTTAATATATGACATATTTAATATATAATCATCTTGATTCTGATAAACTTAAAACACCTCATGAAAAATCTAGGTAACCTCTAATGAAGGAGAAAATGTGTTCAAAGAATTACATCCAAAATGATCTTAAAACAGAGGGTCTTACTAGGAGTCCTTCCATACTATGAGGAAATAAATATTCCTGTAAACTGTTCCACATTATAAACAAAAGAGAAAGTCACCTGATCCATTTCATGAAATTAGGACAGATACAAAACCCGAACAAACATTGTGATTTTTATTTTTTTAAGATTTTATTTATTTTAGAAAGAAATAGAGATGAATAGGGGAAGGGGCAGAAGGAGAGGGAGAGAGAGAATCTCAAGGAGACTTCATGCTGAGTGTGGAGCCCGATGTGGAGCTTGATCTCAAGACCCTGAGATCATGACCTGAGCTGAAACCAAGAGTCAGATGCTTAATGGACTGAGCTACCCAGGTGCCCCAAAATTGCGATTTTTAAAGAAAAAACTCTTAGGAAACTAAAACCAGAAAAATACTCCCCCAAGATAATAAAGAATATTTATCTTAAACCAATAATGAATATTTTACTTAATGGTAAAACACCAGAAGAATTCTCATTAAAATCCTGGACAAGACATGGATATTAATACTGTTTTGAAGTTTTAGCCAATGCAACATAAATGACACAGAAAAGAAATGTAATATTTGGAAGAGTCAAAACTGTCATTATTTGCAGATATGATGATTATGTATATAGGAAGCTAATAGAATCAAGTTGAAAAACCCCAAAGACTAAATTATTTCAGTGAAGCTCTATAAAAAGATAGATAGACAAAAGTTAATATAGCTTTTGTATATCCCAACACTAACTAGTCAGAAGAATATAATAGAAAAAAATTAAAATATCATAATAATAATAACCAAAACCAAAATATTAAACTGAATTGTGAAGAAAAGATGAAAACTAATAAGACTTAATCAGTATATATATATATATTTGAATTTTAAAACATCCATGTTTCTAAACAGGGATCCCAACATAATTATTTTTTTTAGCTTGACAAAACAATGCAGTAGCTAAAGTGTTTTATGAAACAGCTATGAGAAAGGACATCCCACAAGGTGTTAAATTAGTTCTAGAGCCACAATAATTGGCATGATATTGAATGGATAAATCAGTAGTACAGAAGAGAGCCCTAAGAAACTGTAGTATACATAAAATCTATTTAAAAAAGAAGAAAGAAAGATCATAAATTAATTTGTAAAGAATGAACTGTTTAACATATAGTATCCAAGAAATTGCCTGTTTGGGAAAATATTATTATATATTGAAACATCTGACCTCAAACTATACTCCAAAAACAAGACCAGAAAAACTCCAGTTTGGTTAAAATTTAGTACTACCGAGGGGAAGCATGGATGACTCTAGTCACACTGTGAGCATGGACTTTCTGAGAACTTGACCATTAGCACATTTAAAATTCTGCAAGTCAAAAATCAATGTAGACATTTTAAAGGACAAGGACAAGATGTTTGCAATAACTGTCTCCAAGAACAGGTTCATTC